TGCTTATACTCATTCGTCATTTCACTGATTCACGCATTCAATAGCTATTCAAATCAATAGTACTCTGATTCACTGATTCATTGATTTCCTTTGTGGCATCTAAACCAAAGATTGACATGTTACAAACCTATAGGTTTTACAAAACAATCAATTGCATTGTTTTTCTATTTTATGAAAGGTTTTTTTCAGCTTTATTTGTATTGTTCATTTAATACTGGTTTTCGGAATCCAGAGAATAAATTATGAACCAGTCTGTACTATTTACACATCACTATTTAGATAATCATAAAAATAAATAATAAAGAGTATTTTTAAAAAAATTATAGATTTTTTTAAAAAGTACTTTTTAAAAATATATTCTTGGCCTACAGCATGTAACTTTCCCGTAATTATTCTATTCGCACCACTTTTCAAAATTTTACACATTATATTTTTTAAAACTTCTAACATCAAGATTATTAAAGAATGAAAAATATGAGTCCTTATATTTTGCGCCTAACCATTAGCATAAAGTTAAAAAATTATATATTTAATCACATTGCTTATCAAGAAATTAAATATTTTATCACACACACATATTACGCATTTCAATAGATTTTGAATATTAAAATATAACGCGTAGCTAGTTCCCTACACTGAAAATTATTCAAACCATTTTTTTGTTTCTTTTTTGCTTATTACAACTTATATAATAATCATAAATAATTCATTTTTCAATTTATATATCTTCCTATGTTCCGCACTAATTAAAAAATAAGAATTAAAAAAAAACTGAAATATGTGCTTACAGAACATACAATTAATTTAAATGCATAAAAACCAATTTCTTGTTACACGACATCCTATGAAACATTTATACTTTCATGCTTTTAATTTGTAATTTCTTAATTATCTATGTTTGTTATAATTGTCAAATTAAAACCATCATAGAGAGTAAAATATTTAATTTGTATAAATTCTAATTTACTAAAACCTTCAAGATAAACATTTTAATTAAAAGCTTTATTTGTTTATAAATTCCCTCATGAATAATGTGCAAAAAATATCTTTTTGTATATTTTTTAACCAAAACATATCTTAATCAGACATATTTTTTGCCAAATCTTAAAAGACGTATTTGCACAACTAATTAAAAAATGTCTATATATATGGTCAATAAAATTATATAAAAACTATTCCTCACTCAATTAAGAAAATTTTCTCATTGAAATATTTGAGACTTAAAACAAATAGGAAAGTTCCAAATAAATTTTAAATAGAAGCTATTATAAAGTTATTTAAATAATTAGTAATATCCTAAGTTTTCTAATAGAAGCCTCATGCTTACTAAGTAGTTTTGTTGAAAATAAAACTCATTAAATGTTATTAGGCTGTTAAAAAAGTTCTGCAACACTTGCGAAAATTTCAACTTTCATGAATTTTTATTTCGCGTTGTTGTTTCCAAGTGTTCTTAGTTTATACTTTCATCAATAAATTCTAAATGACTTTAGATAAAACTGAACTTCGGGTTCAGATTCGTTATTGCTATGTACGATATCTTAGAGCAAGGGATGCTGCAAAGGTGTAGCAGAATTTTTTTAACAACCCAATGTTGTTTTGTCGAATCCCTAAGTTGCCGACGCAACTAGACCAATTCCGTAAGTCTAAAAACAGAAAAAGTTTTTAAAAAAACCTTGACAACTTTAAAATCAATACAGTTTAAAATATGCTCGGGATATGCTAGAGCAGTCCTACTCCTTTTGAAAATACTAAAAATCTTCTGTTCTTGTACATGTGAGGTAAACTTCTAGTGACCTCTGGCAAAGCTTGATATGCAAGTCTGCTGACTTCGAAGATCCTGAAAAAGTCGGGCTCCTCTGTACTTTCTCTGGACCAGAGCGTTTTAAGTAATACCAATCACGTGGGCCTGGATAGCCTGGTTGGTAGGGCGCTGGGATCAGATCCAAGAGTTCGTGGGTTCGGTCCCAGCCGACCAAAGACTCCCCGTGTAGTAAATGGTAACTGATGCACGTTAAATTTGTCGAGTCGCAAAGTCCTCCATGTTCCCTTAACAAATCAATACCTCTGGGGTACTGATTCTGGAGTTACCTTGTCTTCTGGATTGGTTCAAAATTACAAGGCTATGGAGTTGAACATTAATATCGTAAACCCCAAAATTGGATCGGCTGTTCAACGACGGATATTAAAAAAAAATACCAATCACGTGGTGGCTCAAGGAACAGAGCGTTCGTCCTCAAATTAGGTGAAGTTTCCTCCCCTTGTAAGTGACAAACAAATCACAAAACCTTTCTCTCCTAAGTACTTTCATAATTTTTGAAGTGCCTCAAATTAAATATCTAGCAATAAAACTTCAATTCAATCAAATTAAATATCTAGCAATGAAAGAGTTTAATCTTCGTAAATCTACTTGATTCATCGAAACCACAAGAATCACGAGTTGTCGCGAGAGGAATTGTTTCCGCGACGAAATGTGCTGACGATGAACTGTCTCCCCCCAACGAAGCGTGTGCGATGGATTGTCCCACGTGGAATACACCATGATGATGCACGACGAATTGAAGTGACACCAGTTTTTAAATAATTGGTGGTAGTGGTAGTAGTAATACTTTGTTTACGTTGCACTAGAGCTGCAGAATGGGATATTGGGGGCGGTCAAGGAAACATAACTGAGAATGATCCGAAGGACATGCCATCATAATTTTAATCCTCTGCAATACACTTAATATTTTGATTTTCAAACACTTTGTTAAAATAACTGTCTCAAAAGTAGAAGTAGTAGTAGCAGTAGTTAATTTAGGTCGCACTAGATCTGCACAATGGGCTATTGGCGACAATCTAGGAAATATCCCTGAGGATGATCCGAAGGCATACCATCACAATTTTGATCCTCTGCAGAGGGGATGGCACCCCTGCTTCGGTAGCCCAACGACCTGCACGCGAAGTCGAGCACTTTACGGTAGAACAGTTTAACGAGGACCAATACCGCACACCCTCGGTCCCTACGCAGACTGATCCAAGTGGTCACCCACCCGCACACTGACCGTAGCCAGTGATGCTTGACTTCGGTGATCTGCTGGGAACCGTGTCTTATCGATCAGCCCACTGCGGGACGCTAATTGGTGCATTTTAGCTCTTATGCTTAAACTTCTTTTTTTCATTTATCAAAGTCATGATAAAATATATATTTTTAACAAGTTACTTATTTCCTGTTTTTAATTACATCGCATGAATATGTCTTTTGTTCACATTTTCTTGTTGCCTTTAAAATTCAAAAATTTCTTGTTGTGCTTAAACATTTGAAACGATGTGTTTTGCAAATTATTTGAGAGGGTCGCTGAGCAGTACCATGGGTACCGAGATCTGAAGGAAAATTTCCTTCCCCTACAGATCTATGTCTACATTGGTAAAATGGTCATCTATCGGTGGGGTTCTGAGCTAAGACGTACTTCCAACCCTTCGGCGATATCTTGAAAAATGGAAGAAGTCCTTTACTGACCTAATTTGCAAAAGCCCAATGGCTGGTGAGTTGGGCTTGTCTAAGTGACATTTAAAACAACAAGAATAATGAAGGCTCAATATCCAAAAAAGATTATTCTGAGACTGCTAATTTGTGATATTATAGATCTTCTGCTTAAAGTTTTGACACAGCCTATATTTTTTTTCTATTTATCAAAGTCATGATAAAATAAATATTTTTCTGTAAATTTCTTATTTCCTGTTTTTAATTACATTGCATGAAATTTTCTTTTTGTTTACATTCTCTTGCTGTTTTTAATTTTTTTTTTTTTTTTTTTTTTTTTTTTTTTTTTTTTTTTTTTTTTTTTTTTTTTTTTTTGAGATGAAGTGTTTTTTGAGACGGAAGTGTTTTTCGGGATGAAGCGTTTTTTGAGACGGAAGTGTTTTTTTGAGATGAAGTATTTTTTGAGATGAAGTGTTTTTTGAGACGGAAGTGTTTTATAAATTATTTGAAATAATCCATCGAACTAGCAAATGTATGTTTCTTTTCCTGAACTGTCGAAATTATTATCTCATCATCAACGTGTAGTGCGTTAGAAGATTGAAAAAAAGAAACCCCCAAAACACTTTCAATAATAATTTATTTCTCATTCAAAATAAATACATATTTTTATAAAATTAATACATTCACGATTATATTCACACAAAAATTTAAGTTATCCTAATTTGTTCTTTTTTAATCATTTCACTATAGTACCTTTTCAATCATTTCACTATAGAACCTTTTTATTGAATCTACGCATTGAATAATATCTACAAAGGCACATATAATTGATGCTTAGATGATATTCAAATATTTTTCACTTTCCGTTGAGAAATATAACGATTTCAATTATCTACATAAAAATTACGCTAGCATGCAAAAGCATTTTTTAATCTATGTATTATTTTTTTAGCAGAAAGTATTTCATAAATTAATTTCATGCATGTTTTTCATAACAATTCTTCATATATTAACAACTTTTTCCTTAGAGAAATTATTTTCGACTGACTTAGTTTAAACTAATAATCGTTTTTATGTAATTACTTTCACTTAGGTATAAAAAAAAATTCAATTCATAAAATTTCCAAATAACAGATATTCGAACAATATTTCATTATAATACATTTTTATTTCTTATAATTGGCAATTAAATAGAAGATAAAAATGTAAAACTAAATGAATTCATGAAATTTCCAATCAAACCACATTTAATAATCATTAAATTTATTTAGTTTTCCATTATTGGCAATTTAATAAAATATTAAAATGTGAAATTAAATGAATTCTTATAATTCTATTCATAAAATTTCTAAACACCACATGTTCAAACCGTATTTAATAATTTTGGAACTAAATTTATTCTATTTCTTATTTTTGGCAATAAAATAAAAAAAATTAAAATGTGAAATTAAATGAATTCATTAAATTTAATTCATATTTAATAGTTTTAGAACTAAATTTATATTATTTCCTATAATTGGTAATTAAAAAAAAGTACAAATGTGAAAAATTGTTTCATATAATAGGATAATTAATGAGAAAAAAAATTTTTGAAATATTTAATTTCTTTTTTCTGGTTTCATCTGCTAAAGAAAAAACGAAAAACTTCATTCTTATACAAGTTGCTTCGTATTGGCCGGCCTTAATAAATATTTATATAAACCATTTTTAAGATCAACAAGAATATACACTTTAAGATATGGGTCTTAAATTAATGTTCAACCTATGAAATAAGAAAAACTGCGTAATTAAATTATGAAATTTTGATGAAGAACGTAAAAACCCAATTTGGTTGCTGGATGAAATTTCAATTTGTATCTAATAGTCAGCAATAAAGCAAGATTTATTTTTTCTGACTCGCTTTCCTCAGTAGTGATGAGTTAGACTTTTTTTCTCATTGAAATATCAATTTGAGACTCCTCCTCATTTATATGATTCTTTGACGTCATTCTTAATGAAAGTTCTAAAAAATTTTGTTAAGGGAAGACATTACGATATTCCTTGTACATTTTTTAAATGATTTTTATTATAACCAATGAATGAAACACAAGACTTTATAAGAGATTCCTTCGTCTTTTATCATTGTAAGCCATCTTGCAGCGTTAAATAATGACAGTTACACAGCTCTAAATGAATAATTAGTCTATGTTTTCATTTAGTCTATGCTTTTATTTAGTCGATATTTTAATCAAAATGATTAATTAGTCTATTTTTCGTGCGGTATTTTAAAAGGTCTTAAAACTAAACAGAATTTCCTCTGAAATTTTAAGCCTAAGACACTTTTTTTTTAAAAAAAAACTTAACATCATAATAAATCATCCTTTGATATGAACACTTAGTTTCGAAAACAATTTAACTTTACTTTTTCTTAGAACTATTTCAGATTTTTGACACGCTTATTCATGATTCTTAACTAGAAATGTACGGAATTATTTTGTTTCTTGCTGTCCTATAGAGAAAACTGAGTGTTAATTTTGATGCTATTTTTAACTTAATTATTATCCTAAATCTAATAATACTAGGCTGTTTTATAATATTTTAAAAAAAGATTTAAACTATGTAATTACAAAAAAAAAATTAAGTTCAATAAAATTTCTGTGTATATAATATAGTACATAGAGTTTAAATACCGTATAGGACTAATAATTTCGTTAAATCAAAGATTACAAATATTTTGAAAAAATAACGTTTTAAAAATAATAATAAATTTCAAAAGTGTTTTTTGTTAAAGTTCAAATTAGCAAACAAAGTGTTGTTTTTCAAAATATTTGTAAAATCCAGAGTTAACTTTGGAATTTTATAACAAAACAACGTTAATTCCAATTTTGAAATTTTCAGCTTTTACCGTTTAAAACGCAAATAATAAAGTTTCGGTAGAAAAGTTTTAAATTAAAGCAACCTTTAACAACCAGCAGCGATATATTTAAAACTAAAAATTTTAATTTTTGATAACTTATAACTCAATAGATTGCTTCGAAATGGACGAAATATACAGCGTTATTCATAATTCCCTCTGTTTACTACAACCTTATGTTTACTACAACAGGCTTCAGTGGAACATGTTACTGCCATCTACCGGCAACTGCTTAAATTAAAACTTGAATACTTTCGGAATAATTTCATATGCTCTTTTTTGCCATATTCGTCTTCGTTTTTTTACTAAAACGCTTCGAAACCCCGGAGGGAATTATGAATAACCCTGTATATTATATGCATGATTTTTTAACATTAAAGGTTAAATTATGTACTCAAAACATAACAAAAAACATTTTAGTTTCATTTTCGAGAGTTTTCTTTCGGTTTTGTCTGACAGCTCACGAAGAAACTACTATAACTTAATTTCTATAAATCGGAAATCAAAATTTAAAGGGTTTTGAAAAACTAATGAAATAAATTTGAATATGGATATTAAAAAAATTCAAATTTTCGTCAAAATCACCCATTTTCTCTCAGTCAGATACCTGAGAAAATCACTCCCCGATAAATTATAAAGTTAACCATTACCAATTAAACCATTACCATTTACTCCAAAAAATAAAATTATTTCCTCAACATGGAACAAAATATTTGCTTAAAAGAAAACAAACTTAATTTTTGTACAGTGTAAATTTTACAAGGGATGTTAAACTATCTTCAAAAGATGTTGAAATATGTCATAACGAAGCAGTGAAGAAGGTATCCACTTCCTTGATGGTTAAACCATGTTACGAGCTGGCATTATCTGTAATGAAAACAATTATGGTAGTTATAAAATTATTTGAATTATTTTTGAAGCGGATCTTAGTAAAAGCATTAATTAGAATACCGAATGTATACCACTCTTAAAAATGAAACTCCCACTTTTGATGATTCAGCAATCCTTGAGCTATGTCACATTAATTTTGAAAATAATTTCTTCACGTGATTTGTGACAAGACACGAACTTTCAAATATATGACGAAAATGTTTCCTCAACTCGAAACCTCATCGTAGTGCATTGTGGGAGGTTGTTAACTACTCTAGAATAACGAAATTAAAATGAAGACTAGACAGTCGAAAATAGTGCCCAAGTAAGCCCACTGATGTGTATGGAAGTCAAAGGATTGGCCTCGAGCCCGGAAGATCCCGGGATCGAATCTCGCTCCGGGCATAGGTGTTATTTATCTCTATAATTCTTCTGTTGTTATGGTAACATTGATCCACACGTATGGCGCTCACGATAAAGTGATCATTTATTAGGAAATTTAGATACTTAAGGTAGTGATCTTTATGACCGTCAAAGAGTCGGCCTCGTGCCAGGAAGGTCCCGGAGTCGAATCTCGCTCCGGGAAGTGGATTTTATTTGTCTCTCTATAATTCTTCTGTTGTTAGGGTGACATTGATCCACATGTATGGCGCTCACGATAACGTGATCATTTATTAGGTAATTTAAATACTTAAGGTAGTGATCTGTATGACCGTCAAAGAGTTGGCCTCGTGCCAGGAAGATCCAGGAGTCAAATCTCGCTCCGGGAAGCAGATTTTATTTGTCTCTCTATAATTCTTCTGTTGTTGGGGTGACTTTGATCCACATGTATGGCGCTCACGATAAAGTGATCATTTATTAGGAAATTTAAATACTTAAGGTAGTGATCTGTATGGCCGTCAAAGAGTTGGCCTCGTGCCAGGAAGATCCCGGAGTCGAATCTCGCTCCAGAAAATTGTTATTTATCTTTCTGTTCTATCTGTAATTCTTCTATTGTTAAGATGACATTGATCCCCATATATGGTGCTCACGATGAAGTGATTATTTAGTAGAAAAGTTAAATACTTTAGACACTATAAGTTTTTCTCTTTTTTNCTAAAATATCACTACTATTTTAATCAATAAAAAAAATATATCATTAATTTTGATTTCCTCAAAGAAGTAAAAACTGCTTCGTCGCAGACGAAACTTCGTGATATTTGAGTATCTATTTTTTACGGTATGGGTGCTTCAAAAATGATTTGTGACTGGAATTCAATTTAAAAAAAAAAACAGACGAAATCATGTAGAAATGTGCAATTCGCCACATTCTGCTGCGAAAACGTAATTTTTAAAAATTAGACCGAAAAAATTCTTGCCTTTAAGTTGTTGCTTGGGGCATTTTACGCGCAGAAGTACTTTGATTTCAATTTTAACAATTTTCAAGAAATGTCCGCAATATTGTTAAAGTTCTTTATCGATTGGAATTTTAGTAATAATTTAACTGTCCGGCAGCCATTAAATCACATAAACCATCTCTTGTTCGGGACATTTTTTCAGCACAGTCTGCATCAGAAGTATTAAAATTATATCTCTCTCATCCATCTCTTTCCTGAGATAAGACAAAAATTTTATCCATTGCATGATGTCCTACTTTCCCAACCACCTCCGCAGATATAACCTGAGTATCGTACACGCTATTACTCGAAAAAGGCTAACCCCATCACCAATAATTGATATGACATTATGTGCCACCACAGCACCGTTTAAGATTAAAGTTTCTACAACCATTATAGAAAGGATCGAAATTAAATCTAAGTAATTACTTCATAACTAAATTTTTATCTCGATAAAAGTGCAAAATTATTCTAAATAAATACTTAACTTATTACTAACTTTTCAAACCTTACAAAAGGAATCTAAATAAATATTTCACGTATAACTTATTTTTTAACGCTACTTAAAATATTACTAAAGACAACCTAACAAAAGGAATCTAAATAAATATTTCACGTATAGCTTATTTTTTTAACGCTACATAAAATATTACTAAAGACAACCTAGCAAAAGGAATCTAAAGAAATATTTCACGTATAGCTTATTTTTTAACGCTACGTAAAATATTACTAAAGACAACCTAACAAAAGGAATCTAAACAAATACTTCACGTATAGCTTATTTTTTAACGCTACTTAATTATTATTTAAGACAACCTAACAAAAGGTATCTAAATAAATATTTCACGCATAGTTTATTTTTTAACGCTACTTAAAATATTACTAAAGACAACCTAACAAGAGGAATCTAAATAAATATTTCACGTATAGCTTATTTTGTAACGCTACTTAAAATATTACTAAAGACAACCTAACAAAAGGAATCTAAAATATTTCATGTATAGCTTATTTTTTAACGCTACGTAAAATATTACTAAAGACAACCTAACAAACGGAATCTAAACAAATACTAAGTTATAACTAAGTTTTTAACACTACTTAAAATATTACTAAAGACAACCTAACAAAAGGAATCTAAATAAATATTTCACGTATAGCTTATTTTTTAACGCTACTTAAAATATTACTAAAGACAACCTAACAAGAGGAATCTAAACAAATACTAAGTTATAACTAATTTTTTAACGCTACTTAATTATTATTTAAGACAACCTAACAAAAAGAATAATGACTATAGTGTTGCCATTAGGTAGAGAAATACCCGAGTTTATGGTGCCACATAAGAGTTGTTGTTGTTGCTATTGTAGTTAATTTACGTCGCACTAGAGCTGCACAACGGGCTATTGGCGACGGTCTGGGAAACATCCCGGAGGATGATCCGAAGACATGCCATCACAATTTTGATCCTCTGCGGAGGGGATGGCACCCCCGCTTCGGTAGCCCGACGACCTGCGCGCGAAGTCGAGCACTTTACGGTAGAACAGTTTAACGAGGACCAATACCGCACACCCTCGGTCCCTACGCAGGCTGATCCAAGTGGTCACCCACCCGCACACTGACCGTAGCCAGTGATGCTTGACTTCGGTGATCTGCTGGGAACCGTGTCTTAACGATCAGTCCACTGCGGGACTGCCACATAAGAGAAATAATTATATATATTGTAGATTTTTTCAAGCTTCTTGACTTAAGTGTACAGTACTGCTCAGTAGTTAAATATCAAAATGATTCTTTGCTGTGATGAATGAAAAGAGACGTACAGTTCGCCAAAAAAAGCAGATCACCCTGCATAACTTTTGATCTAATGATCGGAACTTCACGCTCTAGGACTCAAACTTAATGATTCGAGGGAGTGACCTCAAATATGTTAATTAATTAGTGCAGACGATATTTTATTTTGCAAAATTAGAAACAAAAACGTTCTTTCTCTGAATAAACATACCTTTTTTTTCAACGGATTTGGATTTTTCACCCTCAAAATATAGATGGTAGCCGCAATCTGGGGAATATGGTCCCCTTAGTTTGATCAGGAGAGCGATACAAAGTTTGGAGCGATGCAAAGTTAATTTAACTTTTTGCGTATTATGCAATATCACGAGAACTCATTGAGCGAATTGGAAAAAAAAATTTTAGAGAATTATAAAATTCGTTCATCCAAAGACTCCATACCAAAAATTAATTTTGGAGAATATCTATTATTTTTTATTATTTATTTAATAGTAGTCAAAAGAATTTTGAACTTAAGGCCTACACCCTTTTAAAGTACGTAATTTTACCTAACAAAATATAAAATTTGAACAAATAAGATCGAATAGTTTCTGAGAAATGCAATTTTAAAAAAGTCGTAAATTTAAAATACGATTTCTTAGGAACTATTCAGAGGATTTCATTCAAACTTGGTATATTATCATCCAAAATTCCACCGCTTTAATATGATATAAAAAATTGTATACTGTTTTATTTTTTGGTACACTGTGTATAGGGGAGAGTGGGGTCAATTGTAACAGGGTACGATTGTAACAGAGCAAAAATTTCGAGTGTCGGGTTCCAGATTTGGTTCCAAGGTGGCACACAAGGTGTATTTAATAAATCTACATGTACACCCCTGCTGGCAACCATTTTTATGTACTTTTGAAAGAGTTACATCACAAAAGATATTTTCAATTATATGAATATACATATAG